ACCCAGCTATTGATCTGAAAGCAGTCTGGAACTGACCCTTTTATCTTCCCTGACTCCATGCTAAGCTTAAGGCCCTCAATCCAAAAAACTTTTTTCTCTGCTTTTCTTTCCAAAGTTTTATCTTGGCAATCCCACCCCAGCCTCCTGTTCCCAGAGACCACCCCAACCAGCATGAAGGAGAGTTCTTATGCAACCCCAGCCTTGGTTGGGGGGGTGGGGGAGCCCTGCAATGCAGCAGAGTAATAAAATAAACAGCACAGTGTGAGGGCGCCAGCTCACAGAGAACACTACAAACCTGATAAGTGATGCTGTGCACTAGGACCCAATTCTAAAGCTTTTAATCCCAATGGGTTCTTTAAGACTTTTCTATTTCATTCTCATGCCAATAGTAAAAAGGCTATCTTTGCATTCAATGTATTTATTTTAAGCTGTTGTGCTATGCTGCATCACTTCATCAAAACACAGTTGTCGTCATTTTGAATTTAGCAGATTAATTTCTACATAAACGCTTCCCTGGCAGAAAATCATCTGTCTAATGCTGGCATGCATCAGTGTGTACTTGACCTACAAAGATGTAAAATGTGACAGCATCTCCAGCAGTGTATTTGCAATGACAATGCATATGTGTGTAATATGTTCCTGGTTGTCAGGTTTCCTGAGGTAGAGAAGCAGCATGCACATGCAATGCAGCAGAAACTATCAACACTTCCGTTTATCGCTCAATAAAATAAAAGCTTTGAAAACCGATTATTGCTTAAAAGAGATTATTTAATCACAGACTAAAGTTGAATAATAAATCATTCTGTTATGAATTATATGTCAGGGAAAAGGCAGTTGATATTCTTGCAAGTATTGTTTTTCTTGGAATCCACAACTATTTCAATAATCTCAGATTAAAATGAAGACAAAAATTTGAACAGTGTATAAATAAGCAAACAAATAAAAAATGTTCCCATAAGAAAATGAGCAGCTAAACAGCTTAGAGGTTCATACCCCCCACCCCCTGCATAAAAATATATTTTCCCCCTCTTCAAACAAGTTTATAATATTGATAACATTCATTCTAATAAATAAATAAATAAAAATTGCAGAAAACCTCTTACAATGTTTTAATTTTTAACAGTTTTTTAGATTAACTCCCTCTGGTTATACATAGTGTATCATGGGTATTACTGGAAGCTTTCTCTCACACAGTATTTTGATATTTACCAATCATAAAAGATTTGTTTTTATAATCTAGACATAAAAAATGAACATTTAGAAACATTTACATACTAAGGCGTTGCAGTTGATCAAGATTTAACGCGTTCACTCTCTGACTGCTATGAATTATTATGACCCATTTGGGGGTATAAAAAACTTCTCATTGTTGTGTCATACGCAGTTACATAACTTTTAAACAGTTAGTCACATAAAAAAGAGAAATCAAATCTTTGAAATATGTACAGTTCACAATGAAAAAAATAGTCTGGTGCATTTTTTAATCGTAGTATGACTTGTTTTCTATTTATGACTACCTCAAATAAATGTAATTGTAGACACTCTTTTTATTCTATTATGGTGTTTTCAAATGCCATACATTACCAAATACATCAAATTGATACAAAGGACCATCCTTTTATTAGCTTTAGAAATACATTCTAGCATGAAATAAGGACTATCATATCAGTGTCTGGTAAAATTCCTAAATTACTGACCAAAGCTTGTCAAATTAGAGTGTTTTTATTTAATCCGGACTGAAGGTTTTAGTCTGGGACTGGAGTTGTAGGCTCAAAGCTACATGGTACAATGATTTTAGGATTCAATTCAATTCAAGAAAAGGCAAAGCAGTAGATTGCATCGACTCATTGACTCAGATGCAATCCCTCACACTGAGCATGCTTGTAGCGACAGTGGAGAGGAAAAACTCCCTTTTAACAGGAAGAAACCCCCAGCAGAACCAGGCTCAGTGTGAGCGGCCATCTGCCGAGGCCGACTGGGGTTCAAGGAGACAGAAGCAGAGATACAGAAAGCAACTGAATTGCAGGTTCAAATACCTACTCCATCCATCTCTGTCTCGTGTCCTTGGGCAAGAAACTTCACCTGCATTGCCTAATGATGGTGGGCTGCGAGTGAGCTTGCCACCATCAGTGTGCAAATGGGTAAATAAGTAAATATATTGTAAGAGTTGCTTTGAAATCCCCAAACTTGAAAAAAAAAAATATACAAACACAGGCCAATTACCATTTAAGGGGGTTTAGTAAAGCATTTTAATATTCTTTAAGGTTCTTTAGCAAGGGCATAGCCAGAACATTTTTATAAGGGTGGCCAAGCAATAACCGATGTACACTGAGGGGTGGCACCACAACCTCATTGTCAATCTACACTGTTCCTACAGGAAAATGAATAAGCATAACATCCTTATTTTCTAAATAAAGACAAACTATACTTTCCTACAGCCTTTACTAACAAATCGATGCATATATTTAAGCATCCGTGCTTTCTAGATAAAAGCTGCAGTGGATATATATATTCTTATAAGTTGGAGTTCTGCGGCGAACATCTTTTCCATTGTCATTACTTACCTACTTGTCTCATTAATCATTCTGCATAAAATAGATATTTACAAGCGCTCATATCTACATAAATTGATTATTTAATATGTTTTTATTAAAATACTTATTTTTCTATGATTTCACTGAAGACTCCTAGATGACTTGCAGAGAAGCATAATTTTCTCTTTACCCCATAAAACACAAAATCTAGTTCTGAAAAGAGCATGGATTCTGTACTAATCATTTCTAATGTTAGTACATTGATGCGCATAATTAACCACAGCGTTTTTTTTGTCAAATAATTGTTGATATATGAAAAATTTTAATGTTTTGAATATTCCACTTGAGAGTATTACTGCTGCCACTGTCTGAATAAATGACAGGGGTGGCCAATGTTTGGCTGAGGGTGGCCATGCCCACCCCTGGCCCCCTATCTAGCTCCACCCCTGTTCTTTAGATGAGTGAATATCAGTCAGAAATGTATTTATAATCGTTCTGGATCAGCATCCTATATGATTTGTTTTCACCTTTTTATTAAACTCTTTAAATATAGAATAATAAGTCTATTTGTCGAGTTAATGTGATTCATGCAACATTAACCTCTACAAGTAATCATTTATTCTAAATATTGACAAACGCAAGGAAAAAGCCGAATCGGTTCTTTTATTTTGAAAGTCCAGACATTGAACATCCGGTATAACTTCGAAGCTTAACAGCGCCCAGTGCGACTGTACTGATACCTCGCAGCATGTGTATATTGACTGTTATTATCTGAAAAGCGACCGTTGAGGAGCAGGTGAACCCAACCTCAGTCTGAGACACGCGCCACGCCTCTAGTTTAAGGTAACATTCATCGCATTTGGGGGCTATTATGGTTTAAAAACACAGTGGACCCAAATACAGGGAAACTTTAGCGAAGTTATGTACCCACCGGCTAGCATAGGCTAACACAGGCCACTGCAAACAGGGAAGATGGTTTTCGTCAACGTGTCGCTCACAGTAGGAGGGGTTACACTCAGTTATTCTTTTGTTTACCTTGCCGGCCACCATACTAGTGGATGAGCTGATGTTAGCTTAACTTCCTATACCTGGTTAGGTGTAAACCAGGATGAGGAGGGATGTGAAGGAACCAGTTAAACCAGAAAGATAGAAAAAAAAAATACTCTGATCTGTTGATCATTTTTTGTTTGTTTTAAAGTAAATACATTATTGACTTTATCTATTTTAAAACTACTAGTGGTTGAAATATTTTTTTTGTACCAGTTTAAAAGATAAACCCTAATGCTCTTCTTAGAGAGGGACATTAGATGGCATTAAGATATAACAGCCAGTGTAAACATTTTCTAGCTTGAAAAATGATAATTAAATCAAGTTTTAGTGTTTTTGTATTTCCAGATTCAAGTTTTAGTTTGATTAACCAACCAGAATCAGCTGGAAGCTAGATCCTGGTTTGGATTTTAATAGACAATGTTCCCATCAAAAAGTAAAATAAACCTTGCACAGTCTGTGCAAACTATTGCACAGACTGATAAGGACCTCCTAGTGAAAGTGTTTTCTTTAGCTTTGGTTACAGTACTTAGTTTGCACTACACCTGCTGTCTTTTAATATGACCTCTCATGTTTCCTATACAAAGCCAGACATAATAGTTTTGGGGGTTTTTTGCAGCTCATAGACACAATGTTCCTTCAACAGGCCCCATGGGAACCATCAGTACAAAACCTGGCTGGTTTATTATGACTGCAGGTTTTGTTAACTTTGCATTCTGCTCTTTATGAGCTCATGAAAGAAATACAAAGGATTGAAGCAGGAATAGTTCTGTGTCTCTTAAATTCTGAGACAGAAAGGGTTATGTTAGGGTTATAGTGAGGATGCCCCCCAAACGTAAAGGTAAAAAGCTTCTGGTTTGTCCAATTTCATGGTTATCATGTGGAAAATGGGTGCACAGTCCATGGTCTGCCTCTGTTTGCTCTTTTCGTCAAAGTGTCCCAACATGTTATACTCTGATGTCATTTGTGGCGTTGTTAAACCAGGATGTCAATGGTGTATCAACAATGTTTGCAGTTTACTTACCTGTTGCCCTTCTGTGAAACATTACTGATCCCTCATATCAAATACACAGTGCCACATTCTCTGTTTGAGGAGGTTTTGGATTAAATAAGTTGTTTTATTATTGCAATATTTACTTTTTCAGTTATGTTATTAATTAGGTTATTTGCTTTGGAATTGGATTGTTTAAAGAGGATTTGACGTCTGGCTAAAAGGTTTAATTAAAGTGTGTTAAATAGGAGGGGTCGTTCTTTTATGGTTCCCTGTGTGTCTGGAAGAATGGCTGTTGGTGGTTCTTCTTCATGTTTGTCCAATCATGAGCTGCCGCTCCAACCATTCCTGCCTTCATCACGCCCAGCCCCTCCCCCCCAGCTCCACGTCTCTGTCACCAAACCTTTCTCTCTTCCTTTCTCCTCATGTGTTTGCTGGTTGGTACATTCCCTCTGCTGCTTAATGTTGGGATAAAAAAGGGGAAAAAAAAGAAAAATTGATTAGTGGATTTGGAAAAAAGGAAAGAAAAAAAGGGGGGATTTTTAGCTTATAATCAGCAGAGCTGAGGGATGGAAAAGCAGCCGGGTACTTTGAGCAGAGATCCTCATGTGAGTCAGAGCCCTTTTTTCCCCCCGGTCATTGTTCCTGTGTTTATTTTTGTGCTCTTCCTTCTCCTCACTCGGTGTCTGTGTTTATTTTGTTATTTTGCATCGTTGTTCTGCTTCTGTCGCTATGTCATCTCCTGCTTCCTGCTTGCATCCCTGCCCCCATGTTCTAGTGTTGGCTGCTGATGCTGTCTTGTGATGCTCGAGTGGAAGCATGTCTGTATCTCATTCAGAGTGATCAGTGAATGTAGCATCAGCAGCTTTTGCACACGTGTGCATGTGTGAGACCAATTTGGTGCAACCGATCCATCACTATCTACTGGTTAGCCGGGATTTGAGACATTCATGCTTAAATTTAAAAATGTTTTCCCTTTTATTGTAACGTACTTGGGCGGAATGATTGTAACCAATATTGTGATTTTTATTAGGGTTTTAATTTACACTAACTCTAAGCTTGTTGATGTTTCACCCCAGGCTTTCAGTTTTTGAAAGCTTGGTTTTCCAGTGTCCGTTGTTGCAGGATTTTACTTTAACCTTGGTGTGGAAAAAGTGCTAACTTCTTCTTGCATGCATGGATCTAGCTGGATGTAGCTTTCTATGTGGGGACAGACCAACTTTAAGGGTTTACTGCCACCCAAAGGGCTAGAGTAAGGAATTAAGTGTTAAATATAAAGTAAATAAAAAGTGACCTATTACTTACCGTGTTTTTTAGTGTGATACTGTAACCATATGTTGGAAAGAGATTAAATTAACCAATTCAAGTCTTATGATGTGTATATCAGTTTATTTTTTCCAAACTTACTGGCTCTACTGGTGTGGAATAAAGTGGAATAAGGTATTTCCACCAGAACCAGAGAGCCATGTGTAGATGCTTTTAGTCCAGCGTTCTCCTTGTGGGGTTCGTGCTCGGTGGGGCGGTGGTTAGCGAGCATAACCCATGTATGGAGGCCGTAGTCCTCGACGCAGGTGACCCCGGTTCGAATCCTACCGGTTGGATTCCTGCATGTCTCTCCCCCTCTCATTCTTCTGTTTCCTGTCAGCCTACTGTCGAAAAAAAAACCCACTAGTGCCATTAAAACCTCAAAAAAACCAAAAAAAACAAGCATTCTCTGTGTGGTAAGGGGAGGAGCAGACATAGTTGTCCAATAATGTCAGTGTTGGTCTTGTTATCACAGCAAAGCTGTCTTTTTTATTTATTTTTTTATTTTCAATATTTATAATTTAAAAATCTGTGCTTATAAAACAAAGTTGGTTCCAACAACATTGTTGGTTGATTGTTGGTTTCAACAATATGTTTTTATAAATATGACGCTCTTCACATCTTTTATGCAGATGGTTATATTTAAAAGTTTGATTAAATATAGGTAATGAAGGTGAATTTGTCTTTAACTCTACCTTAAAGATCAGAGTAAGTTTAGTGTTTTTTGCCTAAAGCAGCTGCTTTTGTGATTGAACCAGAAGGACTGGATGCTAACTAGGGGCTGGTTACACACTTGCACAATAGCAACTGTGGTGATATGACTTTTCTTTTGTCTTTTTTCTTACCTGGAACAAAAAGCGGTCAAACGGGTTGAGTAGGTAGTGAACACGTTGAACTTTGAAAATGAAAAAAATGTTGTTTTACTCGCTAGCATGATCTTGAAGGAAAACCTTTTTAGCATTTTCAGTCTTCAGACAACCCCTGACTAAAACAACAGCTCAGCTGGCTTTAAGCAGTGCAAACATTTAGCAGTTGGGCTTGGCGGAAACGTCAGACATGAGTAATTTCCCACTGGAGGATTATTTAATTACCAGTGGTGGTGTTGAAACTTCCCAGTCAGAATGTTTGGTGACATAGCTGCACTACGTGTTTTGAAAACCCTTAAGGAAGTCACATAATGTGTAGATATGTTTTCCGGTATATCTGGTATATAATTAGTTAATGATGCTTTTTCTATAAAGCAAGGGGAGTTAATTTAGGAGAGCCATGAAGTTTAGCCAATAATTTCAAGTTGTTACCAGAGTAGTAATTCTTAATTGTGCATTTTTATTTCTTAGTAAACTAAAGGCTCTGTAATAATGTACTTTGAACATGTTATTATTATTATTTTTTAATTGAAACTATATGTTTTAGTTACACAGGGCTATGCTAAAAGTCCTGTATTTTTATTCTAATCCCTATTTGGGCCATTTGATGGATTATAACTTATTATTAAACAATGATAACTAAAGATTCACTCATGTTGGTGCATAATGAAGGTATAAACTTTTGTCTGTCACCAAAGCAGTTATAAATGTGTTCTAGAGGGGGATAGAAATTAAATAACATTTGGTTCAAAGTAGGTCTGCAACTAACGGTCATTTTGATTATTGATTAATCTGCCAATTAGTTTTTCATAATCGGATAGCCAAAGGTTCCTTAAAGAAGAATTTAAACAGAATTAAACCAGGTGAAATTAAAACTTATGGATAGAGCATATTGACAGACAATTTATTTATTTTTATTTTATCTTAAATGCAAAATATTTATATATTTTATTTTTATTTTTTTAAACAATTTTGGTATAATTACTGCTCTAAGTGGGTCTCTGTCAGCTAAAGTCATGTTTTAGAGTCTCTAAACTCCAGTTAAGGATTCATCGATTACTGAATTAGTTGGCGATTATTTTAAGAATCACATAATCATAATTAATACAATTCATTGTTTCAGCCCCAGTTAAAAGCTTTCTGCACTATTTTTTACCAGAAAAAAAACTCTGCTTCTTTAAGCGTCTTTAGATGAATGACAGGCAACCTGTTTGACCTGATTCTGCTGTCCTGTTTGGAGCCAGTGCTTCCAGTGGTTTGCCCTCCTACACAGAAACTTAATCATATATATTGAAAGACGCATTTAAAATGGTGTGATGTGACCTTTTGTCTGAGGAGAAACAAACCGGTTATTCAAAGGAGTTATTAACTGGCTCTGGGACATAACCTGTATTAGAACCTGAAACACTAGTGGGAAAATCCCCGACACTAACCTTATTAAAAAAAACAAAAGTCAAGTGGTGTTTGATGTAAAATCGTCATATAGATGTCGTTAATCAGTCAGATCAGTTTGACTACAGTTTCCAGGCTGGTTAAACTTGAATAAAAGCAATAATTGTAAAAAAATATGAATTGTGTAATAATCAGGTTTGTGTCGCCACATCATCGGTTAAATTAGATAAACCGGTCAAACCTGTTGTTTTAAACGGTTCATACATTGTGTTTTGTTCAGAGTAGGGCTGCAACTGACAATTATCTAGCAAATTGATAATTTTTTCGTTCCAGCAATAAATAATCGGAGATTTTTTAGAAAATTAAAGCATGTTTCCATTTGAGGAGTGCTGGATAAAGCATATTGACAGTGAAATGTGTTTTTTTTTTGTCATCTTAAATGCCAAATGTTTATATACTTTTTATAATCTTGGTATAATTACTGCTCTTAATGGGTTACATTGTCAATGACAGGCGTGTTTTAGAGTCTGTACTCCAGTTAGCAATTAATCAATTACTAAATTGGTTGACGATTGTTTCAATAATCAATTGTTTCAGTCCTTGTTCAGAGACAAACTGGTCAGACTTTTTCTGGCTGATACTGATGACTTTTTGTTAAGAAATTAAATCAAATATTAAAAAGTGTGTTGCAGGTTTTCTGATAGATGAGAAAATAGGGGAATTATGATTACATTGAGTATATTCAATGCAGTTTGATTCAAAAAGTCTTTATTGATCAGAAAGTGAAATTAAATAAATGTCGGTCATCTTTGTCCGAATTCTGTGCATTTAAGTTGTAGTTGATGTTTATTATATGTTGTTTTGGCTGTTCTATTTCAGTGATTAGAAGGTTTAGTTACAGTTTATTATTAAATAGAAAAACAAATAAGGAAACTTGGTGTTTAACCTGCCACACATCAGTTGGCGTCAGTCAAATCATCTGATTCTGACCTCTGGCTGATATATTGATGCCTTTTTTGATTTTTTGCTCCTTCGTTGCCCCATATGCACTGGTAAAGCTTTTCAGACACTGAGGACAGTGGAAAAATGTTCAGTTTACATATTAATCTTACATTTTACTTTACTGGGATGTAAAAAAAAAATATCCTGGTGCTGTTGCATTGGCCTTTTTTAACGCTGCCTTTAATAGACCTGTAAATCTCTTTGTCGTTTTTGCTTTGTGTATAAGTTCAGTTAAACAAGCTTATACACAAAGCTAAATCCGGTTGATACCACACCTTCCTATTGAGACGGTAAGTAATGCTAACCGGTTCTTCCAGCCAGGTCACATGAACTCCAGTCAAGACTTCAAGTAAAATAAAATAAAAAAACAATAGACGGTTTAAAAAAAATGCTCCTCTTAGCTCTAAAATACAATAAAATAACTTTCATGTGCTGTTAAAATTAACCAAAGTTGGTGTTTAGATTTTTCATTTGGTTACAAAAGTGTATATTTTTATTTAGAAAATGTGAGACTTTAATCATAACCAGTTAAAGGTTTAACCTTTCGCTTTTTTTATTTGGCTAACCGACTCCATAAAAGCTTGTTAGCGTACCTCCTGTCTAAATTTACTGCATTTATAGTTGGTTCTGTTTTATTTTCATGCTTCAGACTCTGAACGCATGGAAGGCACAAGTGAGTATGACCTGAGGTTGGACTTTAGAAGGACAGCAATGATTAACCTGCTTTAGCTGAAATCTCTATTGGTGGAGGGCCATCATCTAATCCTCTGGGCTTTGTTTCCTAGGAGCTGTACTATCTGAGAATGCAAAGAAGCAAAGAAAAGATGGAGAAGGTGAAAAGTGAAGAAAACCTGTATCAGGTAAGTCATCCTACCCAGATAGGAAGGAGGAAGTTTAAATAAGAAGAGTTGAATTGTGATGAATAGATAAACATTCCTCCGCTGATTTACTACGTTCTTTTACATCAAGCAAAGCGTCCACACCCCTGTTATAGTTTTCTTTCCCCATAGAGTAGAAAAAAAATCTGCATGTATTTAATGAGATTTTAGATTAGTGTAACAGAAGAGGAAATTAGATTAATTTTAATCCGATTTCCCTGCAAACAGGAAAGTGAGAAGTGTGGCGTGCATTCAGACATGGCTATATTTATTTAACTTCTGGACTTTGATTAGGCTGTTTTACTATAAAATAGAAACCATTCCATGGAATCTTTGCTTTTATGCTTCAGGCTGTGATCCTATTCTGCCCCATCAGGAAGTTTTTCTGGAGCCCCTTAAACTGTTTTCCTACATGGTTATCTATATATCTAGCTTCACCAATCCTACCTTTAAAGGGGTCATTATGCATGACGCACGAAAAATGAGGCTCCCATCACAGCGCCTGCAGCATTTTTACTCTGTGGCTTTCCGCAATTATGGCCAATGTTACCACTGAATGTGTGACCCGTCATATGTTGTGACCCAAAAGGGCCCTTACATGTATTTATCAATAGACTTCTTTAGGTTTAGGTATTATTTACTAGATCGCAGATCGGTGAGGAGAATCCGTCACAGCAGGAGCTGCAGTCATACTATATGACGGGTAACAGATTTAGTTGTTTTTAGCGCGGATCCGTCCGCTTCGTTACAAACTTTCCTAGGTGCTTCATGCGGTTATTCTTTACACGCAGAGGAGCATGGAAGCTCAAAATGACATAATTTGGCCACGTGGACCTCAAAACGTGTCAACCATAAACCAAGCTTAACTTTGAAAAGCTTTTCTACTGCATGCTGCTTCTATAGCTACGCTAGAAGCATCCCGTTGGGATGTTCAGCTGGGTGCTATAAACAGTGTTAGTTTTCTACCACATTTCAGCATTTGGTTCAATCTTGGTTTCTACTTGGCAATTTCTTTAGCAACTGACTGTAAGCAAATTAAATAGAACTTTTAATGGCTTATATTTGCCTTTTGCTTCTCTGATTTGTCTCCATCCCTTGTTTATTAATCATCATGTCCCATATTTTATTTAGGATATTGGATAAAATTTTATTTAAATATATAAAGGAAACACTTTTCAGATGTCTCTCTTATTCTTTCTGTTGAGTTACTTGGTTTGACATTGTACATTTAAATTAATAACTTCTGGAAAAGTTTAAGGGTATGAATACTGTTAATGGCATTATATTCTGTTCTTTTGTTCCTTTTTTTAATTTGAATGATATGAAAGTTGGTCTTAGTCTTTCTTTAAGTATGTAGATCTGTGATTACACAGCTTAAGTTGAACTGGTGTTTTTCCTTGGTAATTTTCTGAAGAACAAGAGGAGACTGAAAGTGTGTGTGGCGACGTGCAACAGAGCAGATTACTCCAAGTTGGCTCCCATCATGTTTGGGCTGAAATCCCATCCTGAAGAGTTTGAACTGGAAGTCGTGGTGTTGGGTTCCCATCTGATTGACGATTACGGGTACGAACTCTCTTAACAACTTAATATAACCTAAATAGGACATTTAAATTAAATATTTTTTTTTATCATCTTTGGCAGTTGGGCTTACATCTGTTTTTCATCCTTATCGCCCTCTTGAATCCGTTGACTTTTTTTCTTCTTCTCTTCTCTCTAGAAACACGTTCCGTATGATCGAACAGGACGACTTTGACATTGGCTCCAAACTCCACACCATTGTAAGAGGAGAAGATGAGGCAGCCATGGTGGAGAGCGTCGGCCTGGCCCTGGTGAAGCTCCCAGACGTCCTGCAGAGGCTTCACCCAGACATCCTGGTGGTACATGGCGACCGTTTCGACGCCCTCGCTCTGGCAACTGCTGCCGCGCTGATGAACATTCGGATACTTCATTTGGAAGGAGGAGAGGTCAGAGGACGGTGTTCGTCACAATGAACCATCTCCATCTAAACTCATTCTTTTTTTAAACTAAATACATGTTTACTGCTATATATCATCATGGGTTGATCTTTTATACTATGAACATTTCCACAATAGATTATCTTAACAGAATTAGTTCTGAACTTTGAAACTAAAGTATTTTTTTTTTTCTCATCTGTCTTCCTTAACTCACTACAGGTCAGCGGAACAATTGATGATTCGATTCGTCATGCTATCAGTAAACTGGCCCATTATCATGCCTGCTGCACACGCATGGCAGAGCAGCACCTCATCGCCATGTGTGAAGACCACTCTCGCATCCTCCTAGCTGGCTGCCCGTCGTACGATAAGCTGCTTTCAACTTACCACAGAGACGACTACGTAGATATCATCAAGAGCTGGCTAGGTGTGCATGGAAGAATAACGGTCCTATTGAAACTTTGCTTTCTAAATGATAGAGGATTTAAATTTTTTTCAACATAAAAAATTAAACTTTTACCCTTTCAAAGATCTCCTTTTACACTCGGAAGGGGATTTTGATTAGATAAAAGAATTTCAAGTCCTGCATGCCTGTAAAAATGCTGTCAGCATGTTTCAGGAGCAACTAGCTGTATTTGTATGGAGTCAGAAACGGGTCAAAAATGTTTGTAAACTTCTAAATCTTAGTTGAAACAGAAAAAATAGAAGTTGATATTTAATGTAAAATTTTTGCCTTATAATGTGAGAAACTAAAAAAAAAGCATAAATAAAATAAGAATTGAATCTAAATTCAGTTTAGTATTTTAAATACACTTTTTATTTTTGTATTTCTTTTCTTTATTGCAGTTTTAGATGTTATATTTTCAGATTCAAATCAATTTATTTCAGTTTCTTTGTTTTAACTTTCAAATTCCTTTTTCAGTTTCAGGATTTTTTAGACTTTCAAATCAATTTTTTTTTTACATTTAGATTTTGACTGCAGTTGTGAAAGTTTTGCGGTTTATACAATGGGTGTTTATTTTTACATATATTAATGCATCCTGGAATTATGACTAGTGATAGTTCCAGTGTAAATGTCTTTAACGTAATATCTTTCACAGACAAATTATTGCTGCAGAGAATGTGTTGCTGAAATAGACGGAGTTCCCACAGTCAATGAATGCAACATGGAAAGGGACATCTCTCCAGAGCTGTCAGTTTCCCCGTCCCCTCTCGTCAGATTGGGCTCAAAATCTGAATGTGGAAAACAAAACTTATTTGAAAAAAAAAAAAAAAAAAAAAAATCCTGAAACTGAATAGGGAATTTGAAAAAAAATGAAGTAACTGAAGGAAATGGATTTAATTCTGAAAATCTAAAACTGTAATAAGAAAAGAAATAAAAAGTGGAAAAATTGTAATTAAAGCACTAAACTGAACTAAGATTTTTCAAGCAGAGGGGGAGAATTTAGATTAAATTCTTATTATTTTATGTTTGCTTTTTTCAGTTTCTCAGATTTTTCATTCAATATCATTCAATATCAACTTTTATTTTTTCACTTACAAACATTTTGACCCCTTTCTGACTCCATATATTTGCTTAGGGTGTATTCACAGCTGCATTTCCAGGAATGCCAGTTGAACTGGATCCTATAGGCAGGTTGAAAATAGTCTAATCACTGTGAGTTGTGAAAGGGGTCGAACAAAAGGAGAATAACGTTTTTTTTCTTTTAAAAAAGGCAAAACAAACAAGTGTAGGAAAAGGATTAAAGTGTCTCCTTCACTAAAGTCAGATTACTCTTCCCATCCTTCAACAATACATTTAAAAGCCCAGCCCTTAGAACAAACATCTATACGTTAAAACAGAGCTTCAGAAGTTCACAAGTAGAAAAACCCCCAGCCCTGACTGTTACAGCCGTTTGTTGAAATATGCAAGATAAAAATGTCTTAAGTTTCCAAAAGAAATGAAATGTTGTTTACTCTTCACTTTGCAGGGGACAAAGTGAAGGACCAAGACTACATTGTGGCGCTGCAGCACCCGGTCACCACAGACATCCAGCACTCCATTAAAATCTATGGACTCATGCTGGATGCACTGATCTCCTTTAACAAGAAGACGCTCATCCTCTTTCCTAATATTGATGCTGGTGAGTTATTTGTACCTTTTATTCTCCTACCTGTATCTCAGAAATATCTGCAGAATGTTTAATTTTCTCATTTGATTCACAAAACTGAAAAGCAAAGAAAGATTTAATTCTCACAAAGAAAAAGTGTTAAATTCTGTTAATTTAATTACTGTGTCTGACTGGATAAAATATAATAATTTAGCTATTTATAAAATAAAAATATTTCAACATTTTTATAATAATTGAACCGATCCATCAAGGAGATCACTTATGTTGCTTTAGCACCATACAGCCAGCCTTTATACTTTTGGCCTTTCATTGGCATAATATTTCTGTAATTAAAAGCCATTTTTGAGGCTTAGTTATTGCTTTAACTCTCTTATACCCTAACCTCTAGGTTTTAATTAGCTGGGAGGCAAAATCATCCAAATTAACATAGCTAATAAACAACTGTTATTGAATTCGGTTTCTATAATTTTCACATTAAAGCAAATTTCTAAACTAACTTCTTAGTTTTATTTAAATTTACTGAGCTGCCCAGCGATTTGCATGATTTCAGTCCCAGCTAATACTTTTAGATTGATTTGAAGATGCATTTAGTGGGTTGAAAAGATGTCATTGCGACTTAAACTCATCCTTCCTAACTAAACAGGGAGTAAAGAGATGGTTCGGGTCATGAGAAAGAAGGGCATCGAGCAGCACCCCAACTTCCGGGCGGTGAAGCACATTCCTTTTGAGCAGTTCATCCAGCTGGTGTGCCACGCGGGCTGCATGATTGGAAACAGCAGCTGCGGAGTGCGGGAGGCCGGGGCCTTTGGCACGCCGGTCATTAACCTGGGAACAAGGCAGACAGGCAGAGAAACTGGTAGGTTTCATCCACTATGCCCTCTTTAGCTCTAGTCATGGTTTTACCTTCAAAAAGCAAAAAGGAGCTTTGATGATTGCATTTCATTGACATTTTTTTTCAATTTATTACATAAATAAACATTTAACTCTTAAGCATGTTAAGAGTCTGATCCAAGGTTTGTATTTCGGAAAATTTGTCCCTGATCTACATAGAGGCATTTTGTCAATTAATAGAGACTAAAGTTAGAAGCTAGAGGATTAATGAAGCTGAAAATATGGCAGAAAGGGTTGGCAATATAGCTGTCAATTACGTAATCATTTTAAATGTAATGAAACCAATCGAGAATACCTGCCATATATGTTAGTTTTTGAGCGAGTCACATTCTGCTCAGGGGTGGTCACATGACCACTTTCCTCTTCCTGAATTCAAATCAGCAGACTATAATTTTTTTTTTTTTATTCCCTGCTCCACCCACATTCTCCTTTCTTTTTAGCCTCTTTGCTAACTCTGCCTACTTCTAATTCTTCAACCTTTTTTTCATTTTGGGATTCATTCATATCTCCCCTCAATATACAAAATGTCAGGATTTGAGGTGTTTTTCTGATCCAGCTGCAGCCGCCATTTATACTGAAATGTGCTGCCGACAAGCCTTCGTTATGCAAAGCAGTGGTGTGATTTAAATGCTTTTCAAAAGAAAACCTCTCTTGTATGCTGCATCACTTCCTGCAACAAAAGATCTAGCAAGAAAGACACAACCAATCATCAACTTAAATTTATCAATTTACCTTTTTTCTGAGGTTATGGTTTATTATTTTTATCTTCCAGGTGAAAATGTTCTACATGTCAGAGATGCTGACACACATAACAAGATCTACCATGCTTTGGAACTTCAGTTTGGAAAGCGATATCCTTGGTATGTTCATCCAGTTTTTGGTCGACACTTTATTATTGGTTTATACTTTTTTTTTTATGTGAGGTGCTCCTGCATATGTTTGATTTGGTTTCAAGATCCAAGGTGACACAACATTGTAAACATTGACTCAGTCAGTTGAACTCTTATAAAGTCAATATTGTTCTAGATAGATTTTGATTAGAGATCAACCTACAGAGTTTTTCTTAAGGCCGATACCAATTATTTTACCCTCAGTCTAACCAATTCCAATTATGCACTGCTAATATTTTAATCTTCCTGCATTTAATATAATAAAACTAACACAAAGATAACCAATCTTACATGAGTCCCTATTAAAAATGAAAGAAGCAACAGCTATTAACTAACCAAATTAATCCTTAAACAAACATTACAGCAAATGGAGAGGAGCTGCAAAGTGTGCATTCCACATGATCTCAATGCATGGCTGTTAAATACAATAAAGAATCAGCTAATACAGGCCCCTATTGGCTGATACTGATAGAAGAAATAAACACAAATATTGGTTAGAAATATCTGCCGGCCGATGTCTCTAAACTTGAATAGTGAGGCATGTTTCATATTCTTAGAATTAAGCATATCCTTTAAAGTGAGAAATTGGGATAATCTTAACTTTTGTAAACGTTAAGAAAAAGGATTTTGAACCTTTAACATAATGCTGAAAAAGGAACTAAATGTAGCAGCTTGTAAATATGTGTCTTTGTAACACCATAATAAGCCCTTAGTACAAAGGTCTTCAACAGGGGGTCTGTGACCCCTAGGGGGTCCACAGAGGTACTGCAGGGGGTTGCAAACCTTTTGGTCGATTCAACTTTTTTTTTTTTATTCCCCCCCCTGCAATTTTTTCCACTAATTGAAATGTCTTTTAAATCCACATTAACATGAATTCAACACACTGTAGCAAACAGATAAATGGAGGCAGAAGATGTCTTTCAGTCATCAATGCACACATTCAGCAACACACAGGAGCTCTTTCAAGCTGGGCACCGTTTCATTCACAACACCTGTCCCATCAACCAGGAATCAGGATCAGAAATACTTTAATAATCCCAGAGAGAAATTACTTTCATTACATTACTCCATCTGTAATAGAGTGACTATAGGACCAGTTTGATATAACACTATTTCATACAGTATATATAATTAGGGGTCCCCGCTCCATCTCACCATCAGTTTCGGTTCTTGGCCTGGAAAATGTTGAAGACCCCTGCCTTGGTATTTAATTTAATGATATGACTCTAAAGAGCACATCCATCATGTTTATGTCTAAATCTTTATTTTGATTTATCTGATTTGATTAAAAACATATTGCATTAAAGACAATGTGAATGATTGGTCATCTCGCTTTTCTGTTGTTTTTTTTAACCCAGCTCCAAAATCTATGGTGATGGAAATGCAGTGCCTCGTATTCTAAAGTTCCTGAGTAATATTGACCTGGAAGAGCCCCTTCAGAAGACCTTCTGCTTCCCTCCTGTGAAAGATTCCTTTTCTCAGGACATCGATCACATCTTGGAGACACAGAGTGCTCTGGCTGTGGACCTGGGAGGGACCAACCTGAGGGTGGCCATCGTCTGCATGAGGGTAGGGTCAATAGAGGGTCACCTAAAGAGACGGATACATCAGGATATACTTGAATACAAGAGTTAATTAGTTACAGTAATTACGTCGAAGCAGTGCATGCACATGAAGTTTCTGCTGGTATGATCTTTGTAAGGCAGACAGTCCTGGCTATGTTAACATAAATTTAACTAGTTATATTTTTTTCTATTCTTAACACTGTCTGGTGCAAAGATACAGGTTTTAATTGCATTACCTGATTTTGAACTATTATAATCAGTGTTTTTGGCTTACTTCTTTTTTTAATCCAAATAGTTTTCAGTTCAATCAGGGAATTTTGCCCATGTAAACACAGTATTCAATAAGCTACAGAGAATCATTTGTTAAGAAGCTGACTATTAAGTGCTGTATCTAAGCATGAAAACAGAAGGTTGAGTAGAAAGAAAAGAAAAGAAAAAGGTGAAAAAGCAACAGAAGATACCCACGGGCTTGAGATGGCAGCAAAACATCACAAGGGAGATTCACAAGAAATTGACTGCAGTCGCCTTCCAAGATTTTTTTTCTTTTCTTTTTTTTCCTTTTTTTTTTTTTAACAAAAAAAACAGCAAATCATCTTGAATCTGGATGTGGTTTAGTAGAAACTATCTTTATTTATGCAACATAGAGAAATATTACCTTTATGATGCTTAAACTGTATATATTTGAAAATATGAAGTAATTTTTTTGGTATTTTCCTTTCTTTTCCACTGTTTTACCTCCTTCCAGGGAAATATAGTAAAGAAATACACTGAATCCAATCCAAAGACTTTTGAGGACAGGATGCATTTAATATTAAAGATGTGCAAAGATGCAGTTCAAGATGGAGTGCACCTAAACTGCAGAATCCTCGGTGTCGGTATGAAAACACGTGCAGTTTACACTGTTGAAGCCAAAAGCTGGCGTAAAAATAATAAATCTCAGACATATTGATGTTTTATTTGTAGGAATATCTACCGGTGGACGTGTAAACCCACAGGAGGGCATCGTCCTTCACTCCACCAAGCTGATCCAGGAGTGGTCGTCTGTGGACCTAAGGACCCCAATCTCAGACGCCCTTGGCCTTCCTGTCTGGGTTGACAATGATGGCAACTGTGCCGCTCTGGCAGAGAGGAAGTTTGGTCATGGCAGGGGAGTAGAAAACTTTGTCACAGTCATCACAGGAACAGGTGAGAAAGAAGGTATCGCATGCAAGTTCCTTTTTATTTTTATATTACAAATATTACTAAACCCATACTGATTTTAAATTTAATAACCAAAGTTATTAACCAAAGTTACCTTATAAAACATTATTGAATTTGAATTACATATGTTTATTCTTACATACATAAGCTGATTTATTGAATTCTAAGTTCTTGACTGTCTTTTTTTAATATTAACCTATAACTAACCTTATATTTATAAACCTTGATAGACAAAAAGACATACAGTTAATGTTTTCTGCTGTAAAGATATATTGGCAGCTTCCTTTTTTAATGAACACATTGCAAAGAAAGCCAAAGTGATCCTCTCATCATCAGAACATGTTCTCTAAAATGAACTATCTTTGGACACTGCTATGTAAAGTCACTGTAAAGCTATCCACCATGCAAATAATTTTATACCAGCAGCTATTCAACCTTTTAATGCTTTGTAAGGTGGCTGGTGTGTTTAAAAAAAAGAAAAGATAACTGCATTATTATTTTTAGTGTCTTTCTATGTTTTATTATTGTTATTAATTTTAGTCCTTAAGCTCCTTGTCACATTTTTCTTTTTTAATCATCTTTTTATGTTATTACAAGTTTAATTTTTATTATTTATTTATTTACTTGTTTTTCCCGTGCACTGATCCAATGAATTAACCCTGGTGGGATTAATAAAGTGGTCTAAGGCTAAGCTCTGGTGAAGATGTTAGCGATTTTAATAAAAGAAGTAAATTTATTTGACAAGAAAAATGAAAAAAAAAAGAAAATATTAATAAAATCAGTTGTTTAGTGAAACCGCCGCCCGAACAGAGTTGAAGAAAAATGGCTCCAAGATTAATCTTTATTAATTTATGAATATTTAGCAAAGGAAAAAAAAGAGCTGTTTGAATTGAAAAGTTGCTGATCCCTTTCCTTTATAGAAACATTAGCTTAGGGCGTCTTTAATCATTGTGAATCATTCGTTGAAGACTTCATTCAAGTTTGGTTACTTTAATTTTGTCAGGTGCACTGATATTGATATCTTGACTCTGTAGGTATTGGAGGAGGCATTATCCATAACCACGAGCTGATCCACGGTAGTACCTTCTGTGCTGCTGAGCTGGGTCACATCAAGGTTTCTCTGGAAGGCCCAGAGTGTTCATGCGGCAATCAGGGCTGCATAGAAGCCTTTGCATCAGGCATGGCTCTGCAGAGGGAGGCCAAGCGCCTGCATGACGGTAAGTGCTGTTATCTAAACTATTCTAATGTAAAATAAGAAATGACAACACTACTCAGAGGTTGCGTGTGTGTAACCAACACACTTGGAATTAAGAGGCTGATTTTTAAAGAATCCAAATAAGGATTCACACATTTTCATGTGCAGTAAGTGAGCGTGTTGCAGGCACTTTACTAAAATTTTATGTGCAAAGGATGGGATGTGCAAACAGAAGTTAATATTAAAACAGATGTGAAGGTAATACTTATTATCGTAATAATATGAGGAATAGGCCCTTAATATACCATTTACTTGGGTATCAGAAAGTACTATGATGAACAGTAAAAAATAAAAGATGAAAACACAAATAAATATTGTAAAAGATTAAATATCAATCATACATCCTGACAGAGAAGTAGCCATGGTCAGATTTATCTATGGATTTTCTTCCAACAGCCGCTTACAACACCCGCTCAGACTATTGCTAAACAAGGTGTGCCCGTAATCACTGCTTCACTGAAGCTTTCAAAAACACAAAAAAATCATCTTTTAACACATCCCCATCCTGGTCCATGCATATTTTCCAACACAAACATGCTCGCATAATCTCACTCTATCTGTCATTTTACTAATGCTTCCTTTGTGACCTCAATCAACACAGAATTCCTGAACCTGTTTTATACCTGCCTTTCGCACGTACTGAATATAGAAGCTAAAACTGTGCCAGCATCCAGTTTCAGGTTTTTGTAAAAACATATTTATGAAACCACACATGCACACAATATTAATTGCAACCACCTGTGTTTACAAGCTGTGAAAAACATTTTGAAGTTTAGGCCCTATTTGGGATTTAAAACAAAAATGATTAAAGAGGACAGAAAGTATGTAGATTTATATGCCTAACTGAATCTAAATGCTAACTGTTGTGGTTTGCTCTCCAGAGGACCAGCTAATGGTGGACGGGATGGAAATGAAGCTTTCTGAGCAAATCACTGCTGCTCATCTCATCAGCGCAGCCAGAAACGGCAATTCCAAAGCAGACGCCGTTCTGCACAAAGGTAAGAGCAAAAATAGAAAATAGCTTATTTTGCTTAGTAAAACTAAAAGGTTTGTTAATTTACCAGCTGCAGCTTTAATCTGATCTTTAGACTATTTTTATAGATGATTAAACAATTATACCGAGATGGATGCATTATAATGATTGTACAGAAGAAATTGATCTGCAACCTGTTTGCCTGTTAACATAAAAAGTTTTTCTCAAATTCAGAAAAATATCAGCTTCATAATATCAGTTGAATTACAGCAGTATTTAAATGTGTTATCATAAGCAGACTAACGATTGTGTAATTTGTGTAAATTCCTTCCTGCTATCATCCTACCAAAGGGAACCAAAACATCTCACCTGGTCAGCCAGGCCAACAATTCCCCCCAACAGCTCCCTTTTCAGAGACACAGACAGGTATCTGGTATTGCAGGCTAACAAAAAACCCAAATGACCCCCATTCCAAAGGGGTGGATCCGCTCGTCCGGTTCAATTAGCATGTTTTCTAAGCCAAAACAAGGCTTTGTTTTTGGTCCACTCTATAAAGCCTCCAACTCAACGCTATATCTGACATTTTTAATTGAAAAAGCTTCCTGGATGGGAAGCGAAACGTCTTCAAACGTGGAAACAAAGTCCAGTGGATTGGTTTTTTTTGGAATGACTATGACCTTGATGGCAGAGTCTTCACCAGCATAAATGAAGACTCAGGAATCCAAGGAAAACAGCCCCAGGGGAGATTTAACAAAGCATTACAATGTCTCCACATGTTTGCATTTACTTTCTAGTGGCTTTACTTATATGCTGAGTTCTCAGAAGCAGTCTTTTCACATGTGTTTAAAGACATCAGAATGATGAATGGCTTTTGTCATCTAGTAATTTAAATTTTAAAAACAACAGCTTTCTGTGGCTAACAAGTGAATTGTGTCTCCTTTCTCTTGCAGCAACCATGGCATTGGGTGCAGGGATTGTAAATATCCTCCACATTGTCAACCCCTCGCTGGTTATTTTGTCTGGAGTGCTGGCTTCTTATTATCAGGCTCCCGTGCAGCACGTCATCACAGAGAGAGCGCTCTTCTCTGCTCAGTGCATCAAGGTTGTAAAATCCGACCTGGAAGAACCGGCCTTACTTGGCGCTGCTAGCATGGTGTTAGACTATGCAACTAGAAGGACATACTGAGAAGACTAACCGTTCTAAAAATGTTTAAACACACTTGAAAATGTTTTACTGGAATTTATCAAATTGATAAGGAGGCTGGCTTATAGTAAAGACTGTTATTATCTAAATTTTGAAGCATTTCCAGTTGCCTTTAGGTTTTCTTTTCTTAATTGAAGCTGACATTTAATCATATGTACCACAGAGTTTAGCCATGTTTTAATCCGTTAACACCACTGCTGACAGCTGTATTGAAACCAACCTTTTTTTTTTCTTTGCACATCTCCCGCTAACTCTGGGCTCCTTCAGTCCAAACAAAGCTGCTTCAGAACCACCCAAGCCTTTCATGACCTTTTATTTAGCTGAAGTTCTATTTATAATGTATTAAAGGCAATCTTATTGTTTTAGCAAAAATGAATTTGTTAATTCTGTGGGAAAGGTACAGGGGACAGCACAGATAAAGATATGTCTACCATCCCATCCCCCCTCCCATGAAAATATCCCTCCTGTCTTAAGTTGCTAGATTTTTGCTTCCAACTTGATTAATTCCTCAGTTGGCTTTTCCCACATTTTTTAATCTCCAGGGAGGATGTGTGTTGCTCCTCTGGTTGATATTTATCAGATATCTTAGGATGGTATCATCTGAGCTCTTAGAAAACTTTTCTAAACAGAAATATTGCCCTTGAAAAAAGCTAAAAAATTCCCCAACTATTCCTCCAGTTTAAACCTTATAGTCTTTGTTCTAGGCCTGTTTACTACCAGAGTGTTTTTTGGTTTAAAAGAAAAAAAAAAACTTTCATTTGTCCTTCAATAAGAACTGTTTTGGTGAAATGTACTTTTGTTTTTTACTGGAATAAAAAGCTGTTATATTAAAATTGTAACATAATTCTGGTATTGGAAGGGTTGTGCTGCTTGGAACTGTCCACAAAAGAATTTTTTTTGTTTCCTTGGGTTGAAGGAAATCCTGCATATTAACTGACATGTGGTGGGAAGGGGGTAAAGTATAACAGGCTCAATACTTTACCTCTTATATGCTCCTAAAAGTAAAACAAAGTTTTAATGAAGCTCTGAAGTTTTTATCTTATTTTTGGTGTGTGGAAAAACTGATGGGACCAAAGTGCTGTCAAGACATTCTGCTGTATGGATTCTTCTTTTTTCTGTTGTTACAAATTCTATTAATAATTCAAGTTATTGCAATATCTTTTATGAACTTTTGTGTCTTGGAGAATGTAGGCAACTGTAGTTTTTTTTATTTTTGTTATTTCCATGTTGTTATTGACTTCATTTAAGGTGCATATGAGGGGCCTATAGCTATGCTGTCAGATAGCTGCTTTAGTAGTAAAGGCTGGTGAGGGCTTAGATTTTGTTGTATAACATAAACTGTATTAACTATTAAATATATTTATATAATTTTTAAGATTGTTTTGTTTCAAACAATAAACATTTTTAATATTAAAAAGTATTTTTTTTCTGTCTTGTTTTGGTAGCTTAGGCAACTGTTTTGGTGCAATCTGATTATGTAGATTTGTTCTCCAAAACTGGTGGCATTTTCCATAATGCTACATTATTTCTCTGAGTAACTGCAAAATCTTTTCCTCCTGTCTAGATATTGCTCTGATGTTATAAAACCCACCCTTTTTTCTCCAAGCTGCATACTTCAGGAGTCTGGTGACCGTTTGCTTGTCACCTGAGATCTGAGAGACTTGCAGAGTTGTTAATTATTAACAGTGAGACGCTGTGCTTTAGCAGAAACAACGCCTTCGCTGAGAGGGACAGTTGTAACTTGTGCTTTACAGAAAGTATCAGTAAAACTAAAGACAACTAAAACTAATATACTCAGAAATCTGTGAGAACAAAGCTCTATGACCTAGAAATAATTAATGAAACCTGGATCAGGCATGTCCAGACTAAAGTTTAAAAAAAATGTTATCATAATTCATTACAAGGTTTGTAGTGTATTGGGATTTCATTTTATGACTGTATATAAAACTCATTCTGTGGGTCTAAATTTTGGATGAATCCCATGTATAATTTTAATATGGATAATTTTATTGGATGCCAAATAAGCTTTTTTTATTTGCTTGTGATCATAGTTATTTTAGTTTTCATAATTCTCATATTTATCACCTACATTTAAACGCTGTCAAAGGTAAACGAGAGAGTCCTTAAAATGATCCAAAGACCAATCGAATCCAATTACAGTGAAAGTGGGCACTATCAAGATATTATGGGATAAATAAACAGGAAAGGCAGATGCAAGCCTGTGTCATGGGCAGGGGCGGAGCTAGATGGGGGGCCAGGGGTTGCCTTGGCCACCCTTAGCCAATCATTGGCCACCCCTACCATTTTTTCCCTCTAATACAGACTGTGGCAGCAATAATACTCTGAAGCAGAATGTTGAAACTTATTAAATGTTTAAATTTTTAATACATTAACAACTACTTGACAACAGAAACACTGCAGTTAACCATGCACATCCATAGATAAACATTAAAGATGATAGATATAGAATTCATGCTCCTTTCAGAACTAAATTTTGAATTATTTGGGGTAAAGATAAAATGATGTGCCTCTGCAAGTCATCTAGGAGTCTTCAGTGAAATCATAGATAAATAACTACTTTAACAATACCTCATCAGTGTAATTTCAGACAGCGTAGCCACCAGTGGAGCCACCAGAGCAGCGATCAGACGATAACTGATCTGTACAACGATAAAAGCTGCATGAGCTGGAAAGCTGTAAAGAGGGAAAGCAAGAATATTTATACAATACTGAGCATCTGGCTTATTTATTTTGGGGGAAATATAACTCAAGCGATCTATCCTCTCTCTCTCCTCCGCTGCAGACATGCAGCCAGCATCGTGAGACTGCTGTAAAGTTGGCAATATATTCACAGATTCAGGTTTTCCAGATTAATAACTCATCCGCGGATTATTTATTCTACAAAACAGACACCTCTCCGCAACCACAGCAAGGCAGACAGTGAGCTTCAGCCGTAGTTTCCTAAAACCGAGTCTCCTATCGCGCTGGGAGAATTACATGGACCCTATCCAGAGCTCGCTCCTCCGCAAATGCTTAGGGACCGTCTGCAAGTTGCAAAATAATCAGAGAGAAATATTCAAAAGCGTCACCAAGGAGATGTGAATTATTATCAAATTCATTTATTGTGTAGCTCATCTCATGTATATAATACAAAATTTATTGGATTCAAAAATTATACTTTTTTTGAGGAATTTCCCAAAGGCTAAATGACAAATGGCACCTCTATTTTATTATTAGAATAAGTATAAAATGAGCAATGACTACACTATAGTTTAATGTAGTGCCACCAAACTTGCAGCACACATAGATAACCTCATCTGGATGATACTACCACTCTTACTTTGGGAAAATGTGCTAAACTCTATTTTTTTCTATTTTATTCATTGTTATTATAAGCATATAATAGCCAATAATTACACTATAGATCATTGTAGTGCCACCAAATGTGTAGCACACATAGATAACCTCACCTAGTTCACACTACAACTCTTACTTTGGGAATATGTGCTAAACTCTATTTTATGAGATTTCTTCCTTGTTATTATAAGCAGGCCAGGTGTGCAATCTCTGTAACAGGAACCACATCACTGAGCGTTGTGTGCACTGCACAAAGTATAACTGTCGCAAATGCAGGAAGGACTCACCTTGGGTTTGTGAAAACCGCTAAATGGGACAATTGTAGCTTCATGTAGTGCTTTTCCTTGGGTGAAATAAATGTTACTCCAATACTGAAATCATACTGTTTGCCATTTTCTAAGCTGCAATGTTGAATGACATGAAAAGGCGAGACAAGACAAAATACAATTATTCTCTAAGTTTCTTTCACATAGTGAGCTTTGCAATATAAATGGGTCTGTTGGTGAATGGACAATATAAATAGGCTCTGCCTTGCCTTGTTGGAAAAGCATGGTTATGACCTGTTCTCAGCTCAGGAACTAGGACCTGTATGATATCTGGTTGTTCAATAGGTTTGCCTAAATAAAAGTTTTAGATATGACTTATCAAGTTATTCCTGCAAGAAGGTCTGATGTTGCAGTGGCAGGTAATGAAAAGTGTTTGGAACATGCTCTTCTGATGCCAGTTTGTTTCAGCCTTATCCAGTCTCCTGTAGAAGGGCTGGTCATATCACAGGTAATTTGCATTACAACAGGGACAGTTAGCAAGGTAGAGTGAATACACAAACTTGAAGAGAGGAAGGGGGCTTGCAGGAAAACTGGGAAATTCTCTGGGACTTCTAGTGTTAGTAGATTTAAATATCATTTTTTTGCAGAATGATTATTGAAAAAAGTAGGTACTGACAATTGAAATATGTTCGCCCCAGAACACAATCCGGAAAGAATTTTGTCCACTATACCTTTTATTTGCACAGCATAGATGTTTGATATTTATATGCATCTATTTGTTAGCAGAGGCTGCAGGAAAGTAGAGTTTGTCTTTATTTAGAAAATATGGATGTTGTGCTTGTTCCTGTTGGAACAGTGTAGATTGAGCCTGGGGTTCTGGTGCCTTTCGGCCACCCCTCAATGTACATTGGTTATTGACTGGCCACCCCTATTAGGATTTTCTGGTTATGGGGCCTCGTGTAGGTGGGGTTTGGTGTGCTGCTGATTGAATTTAAACATGGATTATCACAACTCTAATTTGAATCACTCAGCTAGAATGCATCAGATCTGCAGTGACTATTTGTCTTTAATTAAAAACATTGCAGTAACGGACCAACTAGCATCCTATGTACTGAAATGTGTCAAATTAAGTTTTATACTAAGATATAAATAAGTAAGAATTTTATTAAGGACTCGTATGACACAATTGTGTAAAATATTTTTTTTCTTGTTTCCCCTTTTCATTTTTGTAAAATCATAAAAAATATTTTACTCTCAATAAATCACCAAGCTGCAAATACACCCTGTCTAAAGTCCCTCTGACTGACTGCGGATTTTTTTTTTTTTTTATAGTATTTACCCACGTAGGTGATCATGGGACCGTATGAAAAGATTGAGAATATTCTATTGGTCCAAATCCGAGGCAGTTGCTCACTGATTGGCCACTGGTGCTGTCAATCAGCAATCCTGCTTTTTAATTGGCTGTTTCCCCTCTTTCCGCTTTAATAGCTTCAGATTTGTCTTCCCTTTTGCCCTTCCTCCAGCCGATAGCTCTCTGTAGATCCCAGCACCTGCTTGTTGTCCCTGTCGTTTATCCTCTCGTAGGCCTTCCAGACATGGATGATTTTGACATGCTGAACGCACCCGCCGCTGGGAACGGAGTCGGTTCGGAGGAGGACCCGGCCGCCGCTTTCCTGGCCCAGCAGGAGAGCGAAATCGCCGGGATCGAGAATGACGAGGGCTTCAGCATCCTGGACGGCGGAGAGGTTCCTTCGTCGCTTAGAGACTCTAACGGTTTGTAACCCCTGTGCTCACAAACCTCAAAGCCTATTCGGGGTTAATGTAATCCCCACAGTTACCGTAAATACACGGCGGTGACGATATAAGGCGCTAAATAATAAATGCTCGCGGTAGTATAAACGGTAATTTGACACGAGATTTGGTGAGCTTGGTCTTAGCTAATGCTAATTGATGTGTCGTTTGCTGTCGGCTTTATTTAACATAAAACATCGGAGACAGTGGGTTCCCTTTTCACTTATGTGCTTATTGAAACACTCAGGGTAATTTTAAACCGTAGTTTAGCCTAATGAGTACATTGTTGACCGTTGTTTCTTGAGGGTAACGGTTTCTGATAACATTAGCAGTAGCTTCACCGCTCGTGCCCATTGACTCTAACATTATTGGTTTCCGCCTGAGAAAATTAACGGAGTAACCTTTGATCAGTGTTGTAATTTTACATGTTGGAATTGCTGACACGTCATATATGACCATGTGAAGCTCCTCAAAGTGTAACAGCATTACACTAATGACTGTACATTTCATAATAGTTTGTGCTTTGATGATATGCTCCTTAATGTTTATGCTGTATTTCTAACTTTCTCTCATTTCTTTCTTTACAGATGGCGCCATTAATGGAGAGTTTCATGGGGTAATGTTTTATTTCCATTTACTATTCTTTTTTTTTTTCCTGTTTGTATTTTTAGCTACTTTTATTATGCTGTTTCTATTCCATCTTAGCATTTTCTTTAGGTAAATGTTTTAAGAATTACAGGGATTCTTTGAATCATTAGGTTCCAATTTAGATAGAAAGAAAAAGAAGATCCTCAATGTAAGGTGACAGGCTTGGTTGACAGGAAAAAGTTTTAAACTGCTCATTTCTATCTCAGTAACTCTGATATAAACGGGTAAGAATTGGAAATTGTGAAGGGAAGTATATCTGGATATACTACAGTAGTGATGCGATTTTCACATTTTCAGTCTTATGCAATTCTGCAAAGAAATTGCTGCTTAGGTCTGAGAGGTCTCAGTGATATGCTTCACCAGTAGCATGTTTATTGCAAAAGATATTAGAGATTATTGTCCTAATGTAGAAAATACTGCCTTTTTGCACCTCTGCAGCCTGACTCCAGTCTACCACTTGGTACGGGTTCTTGTAGCTGATGACTCCAGCTTCCTTTTCCTGTGCTGTCATTGCAACATTTCAGCCTTTTGCACTGTCAGGACTTCTGGCACTGAGAGAAGCCCACTTTTAGGAATGGATGCATTGCCTGTATATCAGAGAGAAAAGAAGAAAGTGTTTTTAAACATGTTTTTACCTCATCAAGAGAGAAACTTTTTGATTCAGTTCTACCAAAACTTCTTGAAGTTAGTTGCCTTTTTGTGTTTTTGAATTATTATCTGTTGGTTCTGCAGGAAAGCAACGGGCCATCGGATGCCTACGCAGCAATTTCCAACGCTGATCGGCTGCAGGCTGAACCCGAAAGTCTGCGCAAGTGGAGGGAGGAACAAAGAGAGAGGCTGGAGGTGCTAGGTGAGTATGACTGTTATGCTTTGGTTTTTAAGGAGCTATTAAACGGTTCTTGCAGTATGTGAATAGATCTCAGCGAGAGATTCATTACTATTTAGGTTGAATGTTTTTAAGTTTTCCTTCCTTGTATCTTTCCTTCTGTGTCCCTTCTAGTTTTTTCCTCTTCTGTAATCCTTCCATCCTTTCGATGTCCCTTCTTCATCTTAATTTTCTTGTGTCGCTTCTAGTCATTCATATTTTTTTTTTTACATTGCTATCCTTGCTTTTTTTTCTACTTTCATCTTTACTTCTGCCATTCATGTCTTTTCCTGTTGAACTTTGGTGTTTATGTTTCAATTAACTGAAACAGCCAGAGGACTATAGAAGAGTTTAAAATTGATATGAGAAATATATAAAAACCCTTCATGTTTCTGAATGACATTAGTTCTTAACATGGCAGAGTGCCCCATTGTGCTTAATTAAGCATTGATTTCAGATTTTCTTAAGGGTGCCCAGTAGGGTTCCTGCCAATATCTCTTTGCATAGAAAACAAATCAAACAGGAAACTGATTATGTGCAGATATGTAGGACAGATCTTCAAATGGAGGTTGACCAATTATAGAGACTATTTTCACATCACTCTAACCAATCCTTGATATGTTCCACAAAATACACTAATGCATCAGCCAAGGCACACATGCGTTGAGAGATACCAATATAAGAAGAAAACAAGACAAAACAAAGCTCTAAATGACCCAAATATATCAGCTGGCCCAGAGCTATATAGAAAAGAGAGTTCAAAGAGCAGTGGCGGCATATGGAGCTTAAATAGTTTGGAGAGGTTAGCTGCTCGTGCTAGCATTGCGTTAAGGGCGGATTATACTTCTGCAACCGCACCCATCAAATGTCGCTTGGGTCTGGTCGCGAACCAGTTTTGCTGGTAGGCTTCTGCAACGTCGGTCTGGAATTTCTAGGGACACACAGCAGTTTCCCAATAAAAAGCAAGGGGGAGCCTATTTGAGAACTTGCGAGAAGTTCTTCGGCGGCGGTCGGAGTGTTTATTTTCCAAAACAACTTGTCTGACGCATCGTACAAGTGGTTGTACTTCCGAACCTCCTCGATCAACCCTTGGTCGTGGTTATCCATGCTGTTATTACTCCTCGTTTTTTTTAAAATGGCGCGCCCCGACACCGATCCAGGCAGATGTATCCTGATATACTTTTCTTGGGGTGATCTGTTATTAATATCCAATTGGGACATACTACAAAATTTGTACTGCAACATTGTTCCAGTAAAAAAAGTCAACCTCAGAATGAAACATAAAAAAAAAAGTCCACTCTACTCTTCAAAGTGAATTACTGAAGAAAAATAATTATTTCCTTCACTGTTAATCACTATGCATGTGTGAAAACTAATAATCTTCCACAGTTAGTTTTTTTTTGTGTTTTTTTTTTTCCTGTTGCACCTAAAGCCCATGTTCTTAAATTGCTTTGTCTTATTTGTTGCTTCCTCCTCTGTTTAACTACTGTTTCCTTTTCTTCCCAACCTGCAGATGCTAATTCTCGCAAGCAGGAGTCTGAGTGGAAGGACAAGGCCAAGTTGGAGCTGGAGGAGTGGCATGCGAGGCAGAATGAGCAGCTGGAGAAAACTAAAACCAATAACAGGTAGTGGCTTTGTGGCAGGATAAGAACGGCACCCAAATACTGGCGTAACAAAACAGTCACACGTTATTTACCTGGACTAAAATGTATGCAAGTAGCATGTAGAAAGTTTCTGACCCTAAATATAAATCAGTATATTTATCTGTGATCCCAGCAGATAAACTCTAGTGTCTGGATTTTTTTTTATAAACACAATACAATTTATTTATAAATTTACAAAGTATTTTTTTAAATAGATTTCCTTTTTATATAAAAAATGCTTCCAATTTAAAGAAACGCAAATTCAATGTAATGTTAGGTTTCAAAGTATAGAAAAACATAAAACTGTGTGTTGATTTTAGTGAAATATAAATAAAAACTTTCAAAAGTAATAACAAAAAAAAATGTTTTAAATTAATATTTCTAACACTGTTATTTTGTTATGGAAATTCAATGCCAGGATTCCTTGAACAAAAGCAAAACGTCTTTAAAACTTTAGTTAATATACTGATATTTTAAAATGGGATTCTAAAGAATTTGTGAATTATGAAGAGTTAGTTTGTAAGGTCAAAACAGCCACTTGTGGCTGCTTAGTTTTAGACCTTTAAAACATCGAATAAAAGGCACAGTTCTTTTTTTACTTATGCTATTCATGGTAAATGATAAAACAATGTTTACCACTTTATGTCCTTGAGACAACACACAGTGGCCACCATTCCTCCCTCCCTCTTTGGGAACCGGTGAATTCCTAATTTGTTTACGGTAACAAACCTGATCCTTTGACTTTTTATCTTAATTATAACCTGTAATGCCTGTGTTTCTATCCCCTCTTCCCCGTTACTGCCTTTTTCTCTCCTCTCCTGCCTTCTTGCTGCTCTGTTGGGCGGATGTTTGTCCAGAGTGCTGGACGAAGACTTCTACAAGCAGCCCTTCTCTGACCTCATTGGTTATGTGTATGTTGCTCTAACTAACATTCTCCTCCTTAATGTTTTTAATTTTTCTCATATTCTTTGTTTACTTCATCCAACTGCATACATACAAATCTCATAAGATTTAGAAATTAGCTAGCTGTTTGTATTGTCATGTTGTTTTTGTTATTTTCCATTTCCCATCATTTTAACAGTCTAGATTTATACTTTCAAATGACCAATTCTGTTCATGATTTTTAGCCCCCATTCCTCTGCATGTCATCTGTGAGTGGATGCCTTTCACGGTGTTGATCTAGAGCTGTTAATGTTGGATTTTTATCAAACAGGCAAAACCAATTACCCGCATGTTGTTACACCGGAGGTAGACCTATTTATCTAAAATTGACTCTTATTAGGGGGCTCTATGATTGACAACAGTTCTTTATTTTCACACTGAAATAATTAAATTCAACTATTTGAGTGCAGCAAGCTATTGATGTTTACATCCCTACTTATTTTTAGAAGATGGGTAAAAAGGAAGCCTTTTTTATGCTTTTCACTTGGCTTTCTTCTCTTTAAAAGAATGTGCTATCCTCTCAACTTTTTTTGTTTTGTTTATTACCAGTGCTGAAAAGAACTGGTTAAGATTTAATATGGAATAATTATGCAGCATTTTGCGAGATACCTCACATTGTTTATAGAATTGAAAATATGACCTGAAGTCGGGATAATCAATTGGCAAATAAAAAGAAAGAAAAGCTGCAGTTTTCTTGTTTCTTTACCTTCAATATTGGCCTCAGGTTTCGGTCTACTCCAGCATTAAAACATGCTTTACAAGTCACCATTGACATCTATGCAAATCACCTTTTCTATCCACATTCATCTCTCATATCTGTGCTGGTTCACCTATAGCTGTATCAGGATAAAGGCAACATTTCCAACATCGATTTGCTTGTTTTTCTTTTATTCTCAAGTGTTTTCTATTTCTTTTCTTTTTTCATAAAAGGTTCCAATGTGCTTAGGTGTAGGGTGCTTCAACAGTTGCTTGAAGTAGTTGTGCGTTTAGTGTTTACATGAAGTAACATATATTTCTTGAAGATTGGGCTGCAACTAAGGTTTATATTGTAAATCAAATAATCTGGATTTTTTTTTAAATTAATTAATTATCAGATAGCCTATGAATCTTTAAAGACGACTTTTTAGTAAATTAAACCAGGTAAAACTCTCACGTTTCCACTTGAGGAGTTCATATTTTACAAATCTTAAATGCAAAATGTTTATATAATTTTTTTTTTACCTTTTTGGCATAATTACTGCTCTAAGTGGGTCACTCTGTCAGCTAAAGGCATGTTTTGGCGTCTCTACATGGGTAATCTGATTGTTTCAGCTCTATTTTAAGATAATCGCTACTTTTTATACCTTTTAGATGTTGTTATTAATTTATTTACATTATCTTAATGGTCTTGGTTAATTATAAGGTAGCTTTAAAATGTTCTAAATCTAATAATTGTGATCCTGAAAGTGGTTTTACTTCTGATATAAGTTCCAACAAAGATTCCCCATAGCATTTTTTCTATGCTTTTTGCTTTTCTGTATTTTATTGTCACTATTATGCTAAATGCACAACTGCTTCAAATACAACAGCTTGCATGCTTATTATTAGACCTATTTAGTGCTTTGTAGCTACTGACATGCTAATAGACGAATTTCATAGCAGATAATTGAGCTTAAAATGGAATGTTTGAAGGTCTTCTTTAGAGATTTACCAAGAAACTTTTTAGCCCATGTGTTCATCTGCCTAGATTAGACTGACTGGGGGCATGGTTCATATTATTTTTTAGAGCTTTCCTCGCAGATATGGGCATTAAGGCAGTAAACATATTTAAAACAGTTTCCATGACTATTAGACTCAATAAATTTCAGTGTATTGGACTGATTTTAGTGTAGTTTTGAGAACTTTTAGCGTAGCAGTCGTTGTGCTTCAATGCATTGGTCAGAACCCTGGGGAGGGAGCCCAGATGTCAGTAAAATGACAGATAGGCTCATATCCACCTAAATTTTCAAGTTGCCAGGCCAGAACTTTGGTTAGTTAGGGAAACTATTAAAGTAATCTCTTGGTTTTTCCATTTAAACTGCTGTTATAATATATACCAGATTTTTAAATGCTGTAAAAGTAAAAGAGGATAAACTTTGTTGACTACAAATGTACATTACAATGAAATACTACTTCTGCATTGACCCTCTCTCTAAAGGGCCTGATTAGTCTTCTGCGACCGCACACATCAAATGTCGCTTGCATCTTGTCGCAAACCAGTTTTGCTGGTATATTTCTGCACCGTCGGTCTGGAATTTCTAGGGACGCACAGCAGTTTCCCGCCAAAGCGCAAGAGGGAGCCTATTCAAGAATTCTCGAGAACTTCGGCAGATGGTCACAAGAACTTCGGCGGCACCAGCAGGAATGTTTATTTTCCAGAAAAAACAATGGCGCGTCTGCAAGATATCATGGTCACGGAGATGGATCTAGAGTTGCTAGACAACGAAGAGGAACAGGTTCTGTTAATGGAGTTGGCAGAAAGACCGATTAACCTTTCGTCGTAGTTGTCCATTTTCCCTTGGTTTTTAAAAATGGCACGCCACGGCACCGAATCGATGACGACCACACAGATAGCCGGAAAGGCATACTAGGAACCAATCACAGCTGCTTTTTTCTGTGCACTTACACTTGAGGTTGCGCGAGTTTGTGACCGTCCGACGCGTAGTCGGGACTTGGTTGTGAACAGAGACAGATTTGACGGTTGCAGAGGCTATGCGTCAGAAGCATAAATTGCCTTAAGGCTGCTGTGGGCAGGGCTCAGGGAACAATTTGGGGCTAAAGCTTCTTCTCAGGGACCCAGAGTGACTGGCTGTGGGGTTTGAATTTGAGTACTTGCAGCCATTTGACTGCTAGACCACCACTCCAAAAAGTTAACAGCTAACATGCAAGTCAACAATATAAGTGTCTCTAGAACTGGTTTAAGGTGTGACTGCATTATCATATTATCTGCTATGAAACAGGTTTATAAGCCCTGCTAGTTATCCAGTGCTTGACATGTGCAGCCTTTGGTTCACTAATTTCTATTGAAACTTTCTCCGGTTTAAGGAGGAATCGTAGAACTCACACATTTCCAGAAAGAAGATATGATCTTTGAAATTCCTTATTTGTTAACTAATATTTTAGGTGAGATCTTTCAGCACCTTTATTTTTTTTTTTTGGTGGGGGGTTATTGAACCTAAAGCTGCACAGAAATGTTTGTCATGGAAAAATGAAAGACTATAGCATGTTTGCCTCGACATCTGCAATGAGCTCATTTCTGTTGTCTTTTATTTCACTCCTCCTCCCTCTCTTCTCTCTATTTTGAATTCTGATTGGTGAAACTGTTTCTCCCTGTTTTCTTTTCCTCTGCACCTTAAAGCACACACATTAACCATCCTTGCTACCGTCTAGACCAGTTAAGTAAACAAATGAAACCCCAGAACCTTTACGTATTTGATATTTTTGAGAAGGGGACAGACTCCGTTTCGTGACTGTATTTTCATGTTGTACAGTTTAGTTGCTCCGTCGTTAAGCTCCCCTAATTGATGTAATGTCCCTTTTGTAATGTTTGTCCTTTTATTCCTTTGTGTTGTGTAGATGGATGTCATGGTAAATGTCGGTTAGTTTCCCATCCCCTGCTTTAGTTTTTTTTTCTCTTTTTTTGTTGTTGGTATTGTGATGTGGAATTTTGTTATTGGTAACTGTGGAACTTTTCAAACTGCTGGTAGTTTGTGTTGGTGGGTTTTAAGAATGTTTTCATTGTTTAGCTGTAGGTTGTATTGGTTATTAAAAGGTTTTGATGACATTTAGATTTTTGTTCTCTTCTTTTGGTTGTTTTTATTTTACTCCTTTCAGTCTTTGGTTTCAGTCTTTTGTTGTTTTTTTTTTTAATCCCCCACAATCAAAGGAAACCCATTTGTTACCACACCTGCTCTTCTGCCACAGCACAGTGCATGGCTACAGTGCAGTAGCTCGGTTGAAAAAGAACAGATATTTATGTTAACATTGTGTATTCAATGAAAAAGGTCTATACAGCAGAGCTTTTAACCTCTGTTAGATCTTCAAACACATCTTTTATTTCATGAATAATCATGTTTAACCAAAATCCTTTTGTATTTCATTGTTTTTCTTTAATCTTTTCTTTCTAAAATCAATGGGGCTAATGTAGCTGCTCTGCTGGTGTGGCTTGTTTGAAAAGTTGGGTAATTTTCTGTTTGAAAATGTTGCTGCAGGTAATGAAGCTCTGGGTGTGGCTGCGGTTGATGTATAGGAGGCGACTTATATTCCTTGAGGGTGACCCTGCAGAGCTAATATTTCAACCCAGCCAACAGCTTTTGAATCACATGTAGAGTTCATATTAAAGTGTCTCTTTGAAAGCTTAATGAAGGGTGATGTAACGATGTGATACAACTGATGTTGGCTCTCTGCATAGGTAATTCTCATTGTGTTTACTTCATTCTATGAATTTCTACTGACTGATCTGTTTTTCCTCTGCCAGGGCGGCTGAGGAAGCCATGATTTCAGATCTGGACGAGAACAACCCTGGCACAGAGTGGGAGCGGGTGGCTCGGCTCTGCGACTTCAACCCCAAGTCTAGCAAGCAGGCCAAAGATGTGTCCCGCATGCGCTCCGTCCTCATCTCCTTAAAGCAGTCCCCGCTGGTCCGTTAGAGACCAGTGAGCTCTTGTGAAGTCATTCCATGTCACTTTTTTTTTCACCTTTTCCTCCCCTTGAATTCTTTTTTCCACCTCGCACACCAACAAAGAATCTGCTGAATCCACATCAGCCCAGTTTTTCTCCTTCCTGCAGACCAGTAGAGATTATCCTTTCTCCTGCCTGATAGATTATTTTCTCTTAAAACCTCAGACTAGTCAGGACCTCCTGTATTGTGGCGCATGTAAAAGTCTTGTTATATGTGACCAAATTGTTTGGTCTGTGATCCTTCGATAAACTGTAAGGGTGGTGAGTTGGGACACTAAAAGGGAAAGATTGATGTTTGTGTGTTCAGGCTTACAGCTACACTACCCCCTCCACCTCCTCCAAACAGTATCACAATGCTGTTGTATTACCTTAACATTTCAGTCCAGTGAATCCTGCTGTTTCATTCAACATTTCCTTCAACATATCACTTTATATTCTCCTCTAACCTAATTATCAGCGTGCATTTTCTATTTTCTTTTGATGGACCAAACAAAACTCCAAATCCAGTGTGTACTTTAATCTGTGTGTTTAGTGCCCTGTTATTGCATATTGTGTTCTAATTTCCATTCTATGCATTTTTTTTCCGGGGAAGGTCCCCCCAGTTAGCCCTCCCCCTGTCCAGTCAGAACTAAGCAACGTCCAAATCATTACAAAATATATGCGACCTGTGTGTATGTGTATTGCAACCCAAACAGTGTGTTTATGTACTTTACAAGTGTACCTATGTACATATACAGAAGGCGATATAAACAGTATATTAAAAAAAAAATGAATGTTTCTGAAATTAGACAGTTGTGGTTTTGAATACCAGATACTATCCTGTTATTCCTTGACCATGTATATTCATTGTCCATTTGATTTCAATATCAGTAAAAAACAAGAAGGAAGAAAGATCTGCTGTCCTGTCATCTTTTTGTTTTAGCTGTGGCGCCATTATAAGCTCAGGTAATGGGTACGTTAGTCACGATCTGTTCTGTAATGTAGAATGCTTTCTGCATTTTGTTGAAAAATCAAGTTGATTGGCATGAAGCCACTAAGGCAATGTTCACACCACAGCCTGAAGTGACCCAAATCCAAATTTTTTTTTTTTTTTGTGCCCATATGCGATCTGGATCTGATCTTTTAATGACAGTCTGAACAATATAGATCGGATCTTTACATAGATCTGTTTAATACCTGACAAGGGATAGTCACTCTTCTGCTTCTTGCTACGCAGAAGTGGCAAAAAAACAGCAATGTTGGACAATAATGCGGAGGGTAGTATTTATATAGGAGCCATAATGACAGGTATGCAGGTGTATGTATCACATGGGGCGTAGTTACTGTGGTGACATGTGCAGAGGCGTAGCCATAACATTTTTATAAGGGTGGCCAAGCTATAACTGATGAGGGGTGGCACCACAACCTCATGGTCAATCTACACTGTTCCTACAGGAAAATGAATAAGCATAACATCCATATTTTCTAAATAAAGACAAACTATACTTTCCTACAGCCTTTGCTAACAAATAGATGCATCTATATAAACATCCATAATTTCTAGATAAAAACTATAGTCTATATTCTTATAAGTTATGCGGCAAACATCTTTTCCATTGTCATTACTTACCTACTTGTAACAACCATTCTGCATAAAATAGATATTTACAAGCACTCATTTTTCTATGATTTCACTGAAGACTCCTAGATGACTTGCAGAGAAGCATCATTTTCTCTTTACCCCATAAAACACAAAATCTAGTTCTGAAAAGAGCATGAATTCTGTACTAATCATCTCTAATGTTATTCATTGATGCACATAACTAACCACAGTGCTTTTTTTGTCACATAATTGTTGATATATGAAAAGTTTAAATGTTTTGAATATTCCACTTGAGATTATTACTGCTGCGACTGGCTACGTTCCCGCTGCAGGCCTTGACGCTCAATTCCGTTTTTTTTTTTTGCGTAATCCGATTTTTCTGTGTTGCCGTTCATATTTCCAAATATATGCGACTTGTATGTGATCTCCTGTGTGAACTGCAGTCATGCAACACAAGTGTCCTGTATGCGCAGTAGAGGACGCAATGATGTCACAGGCCAGCATGCTCTTTTTTTTCCGGAAGTAAGCATGGTTGGTAGTGCCAGCGCGCATCTATAGGTCTTTTTCAACCATAAAAACTCAATCTTTTCAATATGGTTAAACATAACTTCTGTTCTCCGCATCATCTTCCGCCATGGTTGTTTTTTTTCCCGCTTCTGTGTAGCAAGACGCAGAATAGTGACCTATGTCGGGTATTAATGACGTTCAGGTCGGATGAATGCGACCTGGCCGTTCAGACACAGGTCGCATTTGAAAAGATCAGATTCGTATCGGATCCAGGACCACATAGCCAAGTGGACTGGGTCGGATTGGAAAAAATCGTCTCTGTGTTGTTCAGACTGCCATGAAAAGATCTGTTCCTGGTCGCATATGGGCAAAAAAATCAGATTTGGGTCGGATTCGGATTTGTGAACGTAGCCACTGAAAAAAATGGTAGGGGTGGCCAATGATTGGCTGAGGGCGGCCATGGCCACCCCTGGCCCCCCATTTAGCTCTGCCCCTGGACCTGTGTCAGCTGATTGCTTAAATGGGTGAGTTTACCTGCAGTCCGGAGGAGAGAGGGGTAGCTGTATTTCTTGTTGAGCTTTTGCTTTATCATCTAAATCAGTATGTGACATCATGTAAGTTACAATCTGTTGTGACTGACTATATAAGCAACGGGACAGTATTAAAACACCAAAAACGTATTCCTGGATTCCATGTGCAAGACAGCAGCACGTCATACATATACAGGACCCTATCTCTACAAGGGTTGCTATGGATTCACTACAATTTGCCAACAAGAAAGGCCTTTAATGAAAGCCACCGATGCATCAGGTAAACGCCTAGTAAGTGCCTGTAGCGCCAAAGTTCATGTTGAAACACGCCACACCCAAACTGAGGGACAGGTAAACCACCTGTCTGTCACCTGCTTGTGAAAAGGAATCCGTGTGCATTAATGCTGGAGCGTCCAATCCCTCCCCTTCTGAATGAAAATCAGATAAGAATGACGTGCAATGAAGGTTTTGCACACAGTTTATTGAAGGGATTATGATGCTTTGTTGAAATTAACTACTCTGCTCACCACAAACTGAGAATCTATGACTATTTGATATGTTTTTAAGAAGAAAAAACGGAATAAAAAATAAATCAAAAAGAGTAAAACAAATGGTGATATTCTGCGTTCTGAAACAGAGTGTGTGAAAAGAGAAATCAAACCTACTGAGAAGAGTTTGATGTATAAGGTTGAAAGTATGGCTGTAAAACGATTGAGAATGTTAATCTAATTAATCACAAGGTTTCTTGAATTAATTTAGATTAATCACAAGCCTAAATATTATTGAAAAATGTATATTTTCTGTGTATTTTCTAAACAGAGAGATAAGCAAGAAGCGGATTTTACATTTAAGTTTTTTTTAATGACAAATCGAACAAATATATATAATTTGCAACAATTAAACTTAGCCATTGCCAGACATCCCAAGTTCCAAAAACTAATTTCAGGGAGATGCTTAACCGCTTAACAGTGCACCTCGCCACGGTGTCATCATTCCTCACCATGGCCGGATCTAGACAGGGGCCAACGGGGGCCAGAAATTCTAATGATGATCTGCGCTGGAACAGACATGGTTACTGATAGGTCCTTTGGAAATACTTCATTCTATTTCTTTACAAATTCTCTTTTACTAGTTATTCAAAAACAAAAAGGTGATAGCTTCAGTGGTATTGAGAAAGGATCCCAGTTTTCATGCACAGCTTTGAGTGGTAACTAGGTGACTGCCAGAGAGTAACCCAAAGAAACTTATCGGACTGATCCAATCAGCTCTCTGACAACCAGTCACCTGGAACGCTGGTTGAACAGAGCTTCAATTTGGACAGATACGCTGAACAGGTTTCACCAGAAACCTCCTCCCTGCACCCCACTCTCTCTTGTTGTTCCTGTGCAATCGAATCAGATCTAATCCGCACATGACGCACAAATTATCATATTGCCTGCATGCTCTCACTCGCATTAAAAAAACACCACTTCCCAGAGTCTAAAATCCAGGATAATTGATCTGACTGGCGGGCATCCGTCAACAACTATCTATATCAGGGAAACTCCCTGAACTTTCAGGAGACTTGGGATGTCTGCACTGCTTTAAAATTATTATTATTATTTTTTAAACAGGATAGGTGAATGAAACGTATTACGTTTTGAACAAACAACTCCACTTTTAAACAATTACATGTGGTTGTTTTACCTTTTATTTATTCATCTTTTAGCCAGTTGCTAAGGCAAACTACCTGGTTAACATTTGCTGAAGGTAAAGCAGACCGTTTCTTCTGAACAATATGGCCAGCGACTGAAAAGAGTTGTTCGCATGGAACCGTGGATGCAGGAGTTGCTGGATATTTGTCTTAAAGCTCGCCACATATGCAGGGTCCTCTTCACTTGACACAGGTGGCAGAGGGCAGGCAGTACTACTGAGCAGGAGATATAGACCTCTCCACCCAGAATCTCTGTTACATACCTGCAGTAAAATAACACACATACACACAAACACACATACATAAGATATTTGAACACCAGTTGGTATGCTGGTAAATAAGTTATTTTTAATTTGTGCATGATCAGTTCAATTTAATTTTCAATGAGCACATTGTATGTGCATTCCTTACCTGCAGGGCTCTAGAAGAGTGCTCAGTCTCTGCAGGTTTTTCTGCCTCCTCCATATTGCTTATGCCGGACAATTGAATTGTGGGTAAAACAGGGCGGGACTGCATTAATGCATTAAAATAAATATCGCGTTAATTCCAAAAATTTATCATCTCACGTTAACGCGTCAGTTTTGACAGCCCTAGATGAAAGACTGCAAAATTGAACACAAATGGTTTGTAAATAAAAGGAAAGGAACGATGCAACAAATAAGAGTTAATGAAACAAAAGGAGCATGTGGCTCAAATAAAAGAATTACCGAAAAGGTTGCAAAAGCTGTGTGAATGTGCTTATACTGCTCATGAAATAACTACTTTGTTAATACAACAACAATGCTTTAATTCTCTTCCAAAGGGAGAGATTCCAATATTTTATGGCGATCCATTAAAATATTTCACATTCATAACGGCTTTTGAGAACTGCGTTGAAAGGAACACATCAAACATTTTTGACCATTTATACTTCCTGGAACAGCATACTAAAGGTCACGCTAAAGAACATGTAAGAAGTTGCCAACACTTAAATCCAGATCATGGATATTCAAGAGCCAAAACTTTATTTGGGAATGAGCAGAAGGTTGCACATTGCTACATGGACAAAGTTATTTCATGGCCGATGATAAAGTGAGAGGATGTGAAGGCTATTCCTCAGAAGCTGTATCTTTATGATTTGGACATGACTTCTAATATGCTGCATATTATAAAGAAGCTGAAAGAATGATGAAGAACTAAAGCATGTGAGCTACAGGAATGTCAAGGAAGAAGAGTCAAGTTCAGTGATATTGCAAATTTCATTGAAAAACAAGTCAAGATTTTAACAGGTCCTGTCTCTTGTATATTGTTTCACAATATACAAGATTCTTCAAAGATAACAAAGTATCATACAAACCAAAGTTAATGCCTCTGTCCAAAGGAGCCAGCTTTGCAACTACTGGCAGACCAGTGGAGAACAAATCTCAGCCTGTGAAGAAAGAAAAAGAAATCAGAATCAATGGAATGAATTTATGTATTTTCTGTGGAGCAGGGCACAAACTGACTTTATGCTCCAAAGGAGGATTTCCTCTTGTTAAGTGGATGAGTAATAGACTAAATGTACTCAAAATAATCCATGTGACTCACAG